CTAGCTCTAAACTACTGCTTGGAAAAATCTACCAAGTGTTTATTGTCCAAATAAGTCTTTTATGTGTGTCCCAGGATAGAGCTGAATGGAAATGGGGAGGCGAAGGCTGAGGAGTGGAAAAACAGCAGCCTCGGGTCAACAGCCAAAGTCGTCAGAAAACCTGGGACTAAGAAGATCATTTAACACTGTTCCCTACCCTCACCCCAAGTGAGACTGGGAGGGGGCCTCCAAGGGCTCAGGCCTGGAGCTTTGGACTATTCTGAGAAGAAAGGTCCCAAAGACAGATCTAGCTTGCCAGAGCCAAAGGGGAGGCTACTATGGATGAGACGCCCCTAAATAGGCCGGCTCCAGCCCCAGCAAGACCATGACACAAGCAAACATCCCTTGATGGACTTGTTTCTTTCCATCCCTGAACCAAGCTAGACTCGCCAACAGGGCTCTCCTGGTTGCCAGGTTGTTTGTACAGAAGGGGGACCGAGCTCAGGCCAGATGTTGACATCTGTAAATGAACAGTGGGGCGAGGCATGGAGTTGGTTTCCTGTCCAGCCTGCCTCTCCTTAGGGAGTTGAGAACACTGTTTTTCTAGCTAATTTCGGTTAGTTCATAGCTTGACCTGGGGCAGGAGTTCGGTGGCCCTTCTAAGCCAGCTGTTTTACAGTGAAGTTCCTTCATTCTCTCCTTCCAACTTCCTCCATATTTCAAAAGCAAAGAGAGACACAAGAGGGGTACAGTGGAAAAGAGCGCTATATTTAGAGTGAGAAGACTGGGGTTCAAATCCTGGCTCTGCTACTTACTACCTATGTGACTTCTGGCAAGTTACCTTTTTTCTTTCAGCCTCAGTTTCTTCATCTGCAAAATTAAGAGGTTGGATTAAGTTCCTTCCAGCTCCAAATCTGTGATCCTCCCTAAATCTACGATGCTCACTGTCCTCCCAAACCACTGCCCAAAGTCATGAGATGCAAGAATGAATCCTGCCCCTCTACTATGTAGAAGCTATGTGCTCCTGGACAAAGCACATCCCCATCCTGAGCCCCAATTTCCTCATAAGGAAAATGAGCATAATTCTAGCACTACCTTCCTTGTGGGCTTGTGGTCATGAGGATCAAATGAAATAGAGTGTTAAGTGACAGCTGTTATGATTACCATCATTACTGTATTTCAGATGACCAAGATGACAGGGTATATGAGGAATACTGTTAAAATCTATGGGAATGATTCCTCCAGAAGGCAAATGCCCCAAATAATTAGGGGAATGGTACCTCTGGTTTTTTTCTGGGGAGTAAAGGGAGTGGCAGGCCAGATGTGATGGTGAGTGTGTCTGGGCTGGAACTAAGGAAACTAGGGCTCCAGTCTGATCCTAATCTGCGAAGTGGCCCTGCCCAAGTCCCTTACATCCTCTGAGCCTCAGTCTCCCCTCTTGGTTGCCCATGCCAGTAGAATGTGTCTGAAGTGTGAGAACTGTTTTTCATTTTGTCTTCTTGTTGTTTAGTCTCATTCTTCATGGCCCTATTTGGAGTTTCCCTGGCAGAGATACTAGAGTGCTTTGCCATTTCCTTCTCCAGCTCATTTTACAGATGAGGAAACTGAGGCAAACAGGGTGAAGTGACTTGCCTAGGTCACATAGCTAGTGAGCGTCTGAGGCCAGATCTGAACTCAGGAAGATGAGTCTTCCTGACTTTGTCTTTACATCTTATAAAGCCTTCCGTGGAGTAGGTGATTTAATAAATGAATGTTGGGTTGATGGATGGATGCGAGGGTTAGACTAGAAACTCTCTGAGGTTTCTTCTGCCTCTGATAACCTATGTTCCAAAGCCCATTTCAGCTCTGGTGTTCTAAGTCCTAAGAACCCTGCCAGATCTAATATTTTATGCCCTCTGTGATTCAAATGAATAGCTTGTTAGTGTGAGAATCTGCCCGTCCTGCTCCTAGGAGCCCCTTCAGGAATACATAGCTACAAAACGTACATGTGAACCCACACACTCCCCTCATCCCAGTGAGGCATGCATGTCCTGTAATCCCAGCTCCTTGAGGCTGGGGCTAATTCCCTCTAATTCTAGTGTGTTTGGGGCCAGGAATTCCACAGACTGGTTCCTTTTATGGCCCCACTAAAGCACAGGCTGCAGGAAACCTCAGTTCTGGGGAAAAGAGTAGTTGGGTCAAAGAGTAAATCTCTGGGTCTGCCTTGCTGAAATTTCTAGAGGGGCTTTAAGTAGGAAGGGGGCTCAGCCTCTGGTCACAGCGGAGAAAGCCCAAGGAGGAAAGAAGCTTTATGATTTGGGAAAAGAAGGACTCCTGGGTTCTTACTCACCCTCTTTATTTGGGATCTATTTTCCATTGAATGATATATGTGTGTGATCTCTAAGTTTTTGTTTCTGTGGTTCATTTCTGTATGTACAGGTGTTTGTACATGCATATATATGTGTTTGTTTGTATGTATATGGTTGTAGCTGTGTCTTCTTACGACTCTGAGTGGTCTTTATATCTATGCGTGCATGTAGCTAAGACTTTTCCAAAGAGACCCCCAGACCTTCCTTTGTTCTGTTCTATAACTCCTATTTATCTAGAGTTCATTCAGGACAGGCAAACAGTCCCCACTGGGAGAAGTGCTCCCCCTCACAAATACAGCCTCCAACTACCAGGCTCCTTATTCATCTCCAGAGCCACCCATGCTTAATCCAAACCAGCTCTCCCTAACAAAATGGTACCCCCACGGTACCTGGGGACTGGGGTGGGAGAATTGAGGCAGAGAAAGAGAAGGGCCTAGAGAGGCAACTTGGGCCCACGTCTGGAGGCTGGCCACACAAGCAAGCTACAGAGAGCTTTGGGATGTTCTGGAAAAGAAGGGGGAGGCCCTCACAAAGTGTTCCCAATCTCCACTTCCCGGGGAGGTCTGCCTCACACCTCCCTTAGACCAAGAGACCCTGAAAAAAGGTTACTATGGCAACACACATTCCTCTGGGCCTGAGTCATGGCAGAGGAGAGATTTTTCAGTGGGTGGAAAAAGTTTCAAAAGTAGACTCCCTCACCCCTTGGTGGCCTCCCCCCAACCACACGCAACTCCCCCCTCCCCTCGAACCTCCCAGCCTCTGTCGATGTGGCAGACAATGGCGGTGGTTAACTCTTTCCACCAAGATGTTCACTTCCACCCCAAACTCCTTGGCCCTCTAGCGGTCCCTCCCTCCCTCCCTCCTTCCCTCCTCTTTTAGGAAAAGAAACAATTGGTATGGCTTTTACTGAGATACTCCCAATACTGAGAGAAAAACCAGCTCCAGAATCTGGCATCATTCCATCCAAGGGCACCAGGTGGGCAAAGAGAATCCCTTCCACCGACGATGTCATTGCCCCAGGGCAGTGTTTCTGGAAACAAGTTTTTCCCTCACACAGGGCAGTTTGTGCCTCAGGGAAATCACAGATGCGGTTTTACATAAGAATAACAATAACATTTCATATTTCTTTACAGTTTACCAAAGGGCTTTCCTCACCACAGTCCTGGGAGGCTGATCCTGCAAAGCTTCATCTCTTCATCTTGAAGATACATAAACTGAGGCTCATAGAAGGGAACTGACTTACCCAGGGTCATACAGCATCAGAACCAAAACTCAAACCCAAGTCTCCCAGCTCCCTGGCCAAAGATCTTCACATTATAGTGCCTCTCCCTTACCCCAAGCCCACCATTTTGTCCTCAGTCTCCTTCAGGAAGAAACTGCAGCTAACAGGAGGCAAGCATTTAGAGCTGAAGGGAACTCACAAGGTGATGGTGTGGGGTTTTACTGGGCAGAACAATGCTGAGAAACAGCCCTGTTCAGGGTCGTCCCTTAGAATGACCAAGTGGGCACTGAAGTCAAGGTAGCCAAGTCAGTCCTTGGCAGCTTCCTTCCCCTTAGGAGCCCCTCCTAGACACTGGGCTCCCCTCCCCCTCCTCATTCTGCACACTCTTCTGCAAATGAAAAGCTTTTTCAGGCCCTGGAGTTAGTGATTTAATGTGTTACCTGGGTTGGGGGTGGGGGAGAAGGGGAGCAGCAGCATTTGAAGAGAAAGAAGGACAGGGCTGGTGGCCAATATTTAACCCAGAGGAATGGATCTAATAGCAGAGTTTCAGGCACAGTGATGTGGAGCCCAGGAGAGCTTTATATCTATATCTATATCTATATATCTGTAGCTACATATATGCATATATTTGTGTATGTATGTGTGTGCATATATGCATTTGCATATATGCATATATATATTTTGGTGGGGTGTCCTCTCAGAGCCCTTCCAATCACATTCCACCTACATTTCCTCATTTGCCAAAACCCTGTTTTTCTGAAACTGAATTGCCAACAGAAACCTCCCCCTACACAGTATCTCTCTTATGGAACAGGCAGCTGAGCCGATTCTAAGCATCAGCTCTGATGTCTCTGCACATTTGCACAGATCTCAATTCACAGTAAAAGGTAGAGGGTATGGTACCTAGCTCATCACTCACTCACTGTGATTCAGGATAAGTCCCTTCCTCTGTAAGCCTCAGTTTCCAAACACATAATATGAGGAAGATAGACTAGCTCCCTCAAAAGTCTACTCTCGCTAGCTCTGGTCAATGATTCTACAATTTATAAGGCAGGGACAAGGGAGATGACGGCCCTCCACAAACCGCTGGGAGAACACTGAAAGTTGCAAAGCTGGAGAACAGGACCTTCTGACATCCCCAGCTCCCAACTTTATAAAAGGAAAGTGGTGCGGGTGAGTGGGAGGGGAGAGCAGTACCTTGTGTGTGGATCTATGTGGGCTGAAATTTATCAGGCAGATTTCCTACCCCCCAAAGAGGCCTATGTAAAAAAGGGGTGCTGAGTACAGAAGGTTCATGGTGACCCCAGTCTCCCCAAAAGGTGAAGGGCACATGGCTCCAGCAGGAGGAGGTGTGTGCACTGGGAAGTACTGCCTATACCCCGAGTAGGGAGCATAAATTCAGTAACGAAGAGCTCCCACAGATAAAGGAAGAAATGGGGAGGGGGGCATACCTCAGTGACTGGGCAGCAGGCAGTTCAGTCAGCAGAGAGCTTCGGGCAGTCTGAAGGTCTGGAGGAATCTGGAGGGTTTAGAAGCAAGCAACAGGAAACCACTTGCAGCACTGGGCTGGGTCTCTCTTACTCCCTCCTCCTCTCTCCCGCTTCCCCTCCCCCTCCCCCAATCTGTCTCTGTCCCTCAATTCTTTCTCTCTCTGTGGTGGGCCGTCCTAACTAGTCTCCCCCAACTCCGCCCTCTCTCCCTCCCTTCCTTCCCGATCTATTCTGAGCCCGCTAGACTCAAAGCAAAGTTGGACAAAATGAAGGCCACACCAATCAATGGGAACTGGGGGGAGCCGTGGCTTGTGGGGGGGGGCAGTTTCTACAGGCCAAGTAGAAGACTGCCTATATGTGGTGGTACTATCAAATGACTTAAGGAAGACCCAGTAACATCTCCTGCCCCAAAGGTTCACTTCAAGATATGGCAGTACCCCTCCCTACAAATTATAACTTCATTCCTCAAGTCTTCAGGAGTCCCCTATTAATTGCAAATATCCCTAGGAAGAAGTAGGAGTCAGGAAATCCGTACTGTCGTCCCAGGTCTGACACTAATTCGATACGTGGCACCGGGCAAGTCACTTTCTTTTTCAGGGCCTCAGTTTATTTATCTGTGTAACGAAAAGGTTGGATTGTGTGCTTTCTAAGGTCTTTTGCACAGCTCCGACAGTTTGTGATTCAACTATTGTCAGGGGTCAGGGCAGGAATGGGGCTCTGTCTGTGGCTTGGATTAAAGGTTCATTCTGAGACGGGAGTCAGGGCTCAGTCTAGGACCAGGGCTTAGGGTCTCTCTATGGCTAGGGTTAGGGCTTGATGTGCTCCTGTGGGGCAGAGTGGTTCCCCACCTGAAGCTAACTAATAAGGCCCTCTGGGAAGACATCATTTTCACTCCTTCTCACTCCTGTCCAATCAGCTACAAGTCTTGCTGTTCCTGCCTATGCAGCCCTTACACCCTCTCCCTTCTCTTCACATGGCCACCGAGGTCCTTGTCAGCTCAACTGGACGATCAGAACCCGTTCAAGTTTCTTCCCTCTCCAATCCACCCTCCACACAGTGGCCAAAGGGATTTTCCTAAAGCATAGGTTTGACCACATCACTCTCCTGCTCAGTAAACTTCAGTGGTTCCCTTTTACATCTAGGATCAAATGAAAATTCCTCCAGCATCTAAAACCCTTCAGCATTCTGTCCCAATATACATTTATAGGCTTATTATACATGACCATCTCATTGCCTTTGTAGTGGCTGCTTCTCTCCTGCCAGGAATATACTCCTTCTTTACCTCTGCCTCTTAGATCCCTAATTTTCTTCAAAGCTCAGTTTAAGCATCACCTTCTATATAAGGCCCTTCCTTATTCCCTCAGCTACAAGTACTTTCTTCCCAAAAATTACCTTGTATTTATGTATTTATCTTGTATATACTTAAACAAGGTGACCTAAAAGTCTCAGTACCAAGAACACCTTGTTTATGTATGCGTTGTCTCCTCTGACAGAATGTCAGCCTCTTGAGGGCAGGGATGGTTTCTTTTTTTGTCTCTGCATCCCTAGCACTTAGCATAATGCCTGGCACATTGCTGTTCGTCCTTTGTTCTTGAAGAGGACCATGAAGTCAGGGAGGTGCACATAGTAGGTGCTTAATAAATATTGTCAGTTGAATCTGGTAGGCATGTGATTTGAATGGAATATTGCAGTGAGGACTCTCTGTCCAGTAAAATGAGTACTTAATATGTTTGTACTTAATGTCTTTTACTCTAGAACACAGACTATCAGACTTGGAAGGGCTCTTAGTATGTATAACATACATCCCAGGCTGGCCAGTCCTAGAAGGGACCTCAGGTGTTATCCATCTTCCTTACTAATGTGGGAATAGCTGTCTACGTCATTCCTTACAGTTCATATAGCTTGTTCGGTCACCTGTAGGAATTGGGGTGGAGGGGAGGGAGTTCATTACCTCTCAGGTGAATCCATTCCACTGTTAGATGGTTTTGTCAGGAAGTTCTCTAAAGCATAATAATCTGGGCCCTAGTCTTGCTCGACAAGGAGCAGAGCTGTCACTAATAAGGTGTGTGACCTTGGGCTGGTCACTCAACCTTTATGGGGGCCTCAGTTTCCTTGTCTATACAAGGAGGGAATTGAATTCACTGATCTCTGAGGTCCCTCCTTGCCCTGATCTTGAGTCTCTCCATGAGTCTGAGGTGTGTCTTCCTTAGGATGTCCACACTCACGTGCCTGCCTAAAACAAATGCACTGTGCTTTTAAAGCTACTCACTGAGACCCAGGCTCCAGGACTGTGGGAAGGAGGAGGGGAAACAAGAAGGGGCACATGGGACCAGAGAGGGTCTGAGCATTCTCAAATTACCCAGCCCTTCCCATGATGCAGCATCTTTATCCCTGCCAGCACTCACAAAGACCTCATTGTTCATGGGGCCACTCTGTCCATTGCTTTTAAAGGGGCAGGCGGCCAGCACCAAACTGAAGCAGGTAAGGTTTGACTCTGGTGCCTTTCTCTATAATAGCAGCTCACATTTCCATAGTGCTTGATGGTTAAAAAACATTTTACTTCCATTATCTTTTCTGATCCCTCAAAAGAACCCTTGGAAGCAGGCAGGGCAGGGATTGACGTCCTTAGGTTAAAGAGGAAGAAGCCGAAGCCAGAGACACAAAGTTCTCTGTGTAAAGTCACACAACTAGGAAGAAGTGGAATTCAAGTATCCCAAGTGTGATGCTTTTCCTACTACTACAGGAGAATGCCTCCCTGCCTCACCTCCCCCACACCTCTCAACAGCCTCTCCCTTGAGGGCTCAGGAGGTCTCCACCACCCAGAGGACCCCACTGGGGATGAGTCTCTTGTGCCTCGCTTCCATCAAGAGTTCACCCTCCTGTGCCCCACTCCCCCAGCCTGCCTTGCTCACCACTAAATCACTAATGAGGTCAGTGTGTAATCCCTTTGGGTGACACACTCGAACTTCCACAGGGACTTTCTAGAATGACTGCTATAGCAGGAATTCAGAGTGGCAGGGAGGGCCCCACCACTGCACATGAAGTCAGGGGGACCTTGCTGTCTTCTCCCTTGTTGACTTCTTTTAAATTTGGTATCTCCCCTAATTAGAATGTGAAATTCTTGAGACCAGGGACTGCTTTGCTTTCTCCTGTTTGTATTCCCAGTGTTTGGCACATAGGAACAGTCTAACGATTTTTCATTCATTCATTTAAGCCATTTTGCATAAGCCCGCAGATTCAGCCACATGAAGTATAAACCCAATCAAAGCTGGCCTCCCCAATATAGTTGGTCTTTAGCCAAAGATGAGTTTCTGGTCCCTGATACATTACTATCAGTGTGATCTTCCCTTCTCTTGGCCTCAGTTTCCCCATTTGTAAAATGGGAATAATACTCATCCTGCCTTACTCAAGCTGTTGTGAAGAACAAATGAATGCAGTAGAAAGGGCACTGGTCTGCATGTGAGGAGACACAGGATCAGGTTTTGGCTCTTTTACTGACGAGCCATGTGAACCGGGCAAAACCCACTCCGTGGACCTTATTTTCTTCCCCTGCCATAGAGGGAGGCCCCTCTCGGGCCCCTTCCAGCTCTGACAATCTATGATTCTAAGCTCTAAACACAGGGCTATGGATGCCTTTAGAACACTTCCCTCTCTACCAGACCTCCCTCATCTTGGCCTGGGTTGAACACACTCTGGGGTGGATTGGCTTTGCCTCCTCAATTATTGCAGCTGCTGTTTTTCATCCTATGACAGACACCAATTTTTTTTTCCTGAAACTCCTCACATCTGGAAATTTTTTTTTTAACTGAAGGGGAGTTGCGGAGGGAGAGAAACTTAAAACCTAGTCCTGACAACGTGGCAGCTCTTACGTGTTCCCTGATGTGGCCTGGAAGCCAAACATCTTTCCAGAGCATAGCAGCTGGGAGTTGGGTGATTACGGCCGCCACCACCACCACCATCAACGTGGCAGCCTCCACTGGTGACTCAGCAGGCACAGCATGGAAGGAAATTAGCAGCATTTGGAGGGGTCCTCTCTTTGGGGCTGGGGCCTGGTAGATGAACTACCTCTCTGAGTGGCCCTCAAAATGAAACAGACCAGCTTTTCCTTTCTCCCATCACCCTCTTTGTCTCCTTCCCCACCTCATTCTCCTGCTGGGAAAAGAAAACAGGCCTGTCTGAAACAGGACTGGCCCCTTGGAAGACTGAGAAAGGAAGAAAGATTCCCTTTGGTGCCCTCAAACTCCCATGTCAGGCTATCTCCTCTCTTTGTCATCTCTTTCTTTCTGAAACAGAGGCCTACAGTTTCCCATTCACAAAATGTAGAAAGTCAGAACTAAAAGGGACCTCTGAGCATGGAATGTCAGTACCACAAAAAACCTCAGAACACAGAAGGTTAAACCCACAAGGGGTCTTAGCCCAAAGATGCTAGTGAAAGGGTTTCAGAGATCACTGAGTTGGTCTCATTTAAATGAAGAGGAAGCATGGGCTCAGAGAGAAGTGACGTGCCCATAGTCAGTCACTATGAAATTGCAGTGGTCCAGGTGAGGGAGGAAGAGTGTTCTTTTCTTTGAAGTGGCCCATGAAAGGAGCCATCAGTTCATGAGGTGGGTGACAGATGTTGCTGGTAGGGAAGCCCTCAAATGGCGCAGGGGAAGAGGCTGGACAACTATCTGCATTTCTATACCCTGGGAAGCCCAGTAAACCACTGGACCAGGTCATGTGGTGGCATGAGCTATCAGTGAACCTGCCAGCCAGTGAACTTGATCCTTCAGTCTATTAGCACTGTGTGATGATTTGCAGCCAAAGTCCTGGGTTTGAGCTCCTCCTTTGACGACTCTCTTACTAGCTGCCTGACCATAGACAAGTGACTTCATCTAGATAAGCCAGACTCCCCATCTGCAGGTTGTTGTGAGGAAAATGCTGTATATTGGGGAAATAACAGCTATAGAACAGTTATTATTATTATCATTATTAGCAACTGAAGCCGTACTGCAGATTATGACAGCTAGTGGAAATGAAGGCCCAGTGGATAAAACACAGGATAGGACCAGAACTGGGGCC